TCAGGGCAACCGTCAATCCCGAATGTTGTGTTTTATTTCTTAGAACCATGTCGTGATTGCATTCACTTATGGAGTGCAACTCATGCCGCTGTGATCGACACGTCGAATTAGCCTGTCGGATAATTGCAACGGGAAACCTAATGGTAGCATTTTTTACAATAATTCATTTGTTGGCTTCATCCTATCAGCGAAGCTATACATAGCGCTGAATCCATGCCATTCTAATCGCAACATCAAGCCCTTTCTAGCCAGCGCATGCGGGAGTTTTATCGATAAAAAGCAGTACTATCATATCTTACAATCAATTTTGAGAAATCACAATAAGCTAAGCACGGGGCATTGGAGGTTACCATCTTGTCAAGTTGTTGATGTTCTCGCCCTCAACGGCGCAGCGGAAGGAGGGATAGTGAAAAGAAATGATCAGCAGGCTGGGGGAAATGTGAGCATGCCGCCCCTATGTTGCCTTGGAAAAGACCTCAGACTGAGTCGTGCTGTGAGATATTATGGTCACTGTTGTTCGTGACAGTCGCCCTGTAATGCTACAGCTGCCATTCGCCTTAATCCGACGGTGATCCCGAAGGCTTGGATTAGGGCTGAAGTTTTTGTGGCTCGACATTCTAGGTCAATTATGTGTCACCTTTCTGTAGCCTGAGGTTATGCTTTATGGTGGAGATAACTTTTCTTTTACTACTGGCACTCCCGTTAAAGAACAGATCTATTAATAGCGTGTGCTATTCGCTTCTCTGAAAAAACTTGTCCTCTCCATTAGTGCGTGTATATGTTCTCTGTTTCTGGTTTTCTTTCTGAGGAGCTTCTACGCCTCGACCGAGCTATGACAATCTCGGCTCGCATTGAGTTTTGCCTTTCTGCTACGTTTGCTCATGTTAGATGTCGTGTCGAGGTCTGAAAGTTTACAGTATGTTTGTTCTAGCTAAATAGGAATATTTGGTTTTTTTGTTACTCTTGAGTGTGTTGATACAGTAGAGTTTCTGGGATTTTGCGCAGCATGTGTTTGTTGATTTTCGTTGTATAGGAGGCTTTCTTGTGAGAAACCACAGGCACGGATGCGTGTAATAACCTAAATGTCGCAGTGATAAAATATGCGAAATTAAGCATTGGTGTGTTAATCATAGCTATATTAGACAATCGCACGAGCCACGGGTAATATAATTGCTAGTCCATTTTTAACTCGTGCACATTTCAAGACTTGTAGACATCGTTCATGCTCTCCTCTATAACAATGGCTGGGTTGGAGAGATTTCTGATTCTTAACGGTGCCCACAGTTTTTATTTTCCTTGTTTTCTACGACTTAGTTTTCTTTTCAATTGTCGCACGCGATTACCTGATATTCACCCAGCCATCGTTCCTACTTGGCAAATCCTGAAAACGATTTCATAGCAG